ATTCTCTCCGCGATTACATCGTGAATTATTGTGAACATCTCCACCGTGCAAGCTCTCTAACTCATTCTAAATTAACTGTCAATGGTTAGTTATCATTGTGACGCGGACATTTTTTTGACTTTGTGGATTTGTTATGATAAATATAGACTTTTATTGTGACTCTACCCACGCGCACAGTGACATTCATTTTTTTGGTGAACTTCTTCACCCTTTCCCGAATCCCGACTCTCCATCGGTTTTTTTTGTTTAACTCTCGCCGAAACATTTGGTCCTTCTAGCCGGATAAATCGGGAAAAGTCAACATTGATTTTTTGTAAAACTTTAGTACGCGTGATGTCGGTGAAAAGCGCGGGAATCTGTGTGTCGGCTCCACCCCCTTTGCTCCATCCACCGACTTCGCGCATCGACTCCTCCTACGCGGCTCCTGCTTCGTGACGTAGCAGTGCAGTGGTGCTCATCTCGGGCTATTGACATTTGTGCGCGCCACTAAAAATGGCAAATCCGTCAGTGTCGCTCAACCTGGGGCTCCGTGACATATTTCTCCAGCACTTCAGGCGCAGATCTTTCGTCCTTCTCGCTGCCTGGTGAAGTTCTGCGCTCGTCACTGCTACCATTAGACCTTCTCACAGGGAAGTCAATTATTATTATTATTTTCCTCTATTGATTTTCCCTTAACTTTGCTGCTGCTTTTGCTTGATTTCAATTTTGTTTCACTATTGGCTGTGCTTTCTCCACTGTTGCGTTCTCTACGATTTTTTTTGCTTGGTGCTTTCTCTGCTTGCTAAATTTGTATTTGCTATCGGGTGAGCATGTCTTTCGCAGGGAGAATATTCATTCAAGCCAGTAGGGCAAAGTTTATTGAGTCTCTCTATACGGAATCATCGTCAGCGGCAGTGAAGGAGCTCTCAGTCACGGAGTTGCAGTCGAAGCTGGATATCCTGGAGAATTACTGGAGCCAATTCGAGGAGCAGCACGTGAGGCTGCTCACTGGGAAGGATAGCGCGGAGGTGCTCGAGCACGATTACGTGAAGCAGGGAGTATACGATACAAATCAAGGCCATTGATGAGACCGCGGACCTCTCGGAGTCGTTTCGTCGACCCGCTGCATCAGTTCCGTCTGCTCAGGTGACTCAAAGGCAGTTACCGAAGATCTCGCTGCCTACCTTCTCAGGGGACTTCTTCGAGTGGACACCCTTCAAAGATCTTTTCTTCTCGATGGTCGTCGACAACAATAACCTCTCTACGATCGAGAAATTCCCTTATCTCTTGAATTCTCTTGCTGGCGACCCAAAGCAGTTGATCTCAACTCTGCCGGTAGCTCAAGACTCGTTCCTTCCAGCCTGGGATATGCTTATCGCGAGGTATGATAATGAACGTCTCCTCATCTCTACCCAGCTGGAAAGGTTGTTCTCCACTCCGAGGATCGTCAACCGTACGGCCAAGGAGTTTATTGCTCTCCTCAACTCCACCACCGAAGCTCTCAACGCCCTGAAGTCGTTGGGGCGCCCTGTCGAGCACTGGGACGACGTCTTGGTGCATATCATCTGAAGCCGGTTAGATGTTAAGACGTTGGAGGCGTGGGAAGTTAAGATCGGATCCACCACCACCTTTCCAACGTACGCGGAACTTAGGGAGTTCATGTTGAGCAGAGAAAGAGCTAGGGAGAGAATTGAGCTGCATCCTCTGCACGCTCCCAAGACGCCAACTTCGAGTGTGTCCTCTCAACCACCCAGAGCAAAGCCACCTCCCTTGTGCTGAATGTGTCAACTGGCAGTGCGGGTCCACAGGCTCGCGGGTTGAGTTTGCAGTCATGGGCAGACATGACCGCCAATGCCTGCTCCATGTGTGAAGATGAGCATTTCATCGATAGGTGCCCCAAATTCAAGCCGTTGTCGTCGGAAAAGAGGAAGGAGTTTGTCGAAAAGAAGTACCTCTGCTTCAACTGCTTGGGGAAGCACTCCATCCGTGACTGTAGGACCACGAAGATGGGCGTTGTGTGTCACAAGCGTCACCACTCGATGATCCACATCACACGCCCTCAGAATGGTCCACTGGAGACATCTCAACCAGACCAGTTGAAGTCTCAAAGACAGTGGTCTCAGTCTGGTACTCGTCCTATACAGTCCGCTGTTCCGGGGCCTTCATCAGTGCAGCAGTGATCTTCTCAACCAACGACTTCAACGACAGCGGCTCCGGTAACTTCAGAACGTTCTCTACGGCCGTCGCTGTCAAGTGATTCTCCATCTGTAGCATTATCAGTTCATGAATCGTCATCTCAACTCAGACCAGGTGTTCTTCTCGCAACAGCGCTAGCTTCTTTCGTTTCAGAGAATGACTGTTGCTGTGAAGTTCGGATGCTGTTGGATCCTGGATCTAAGTTATTATTTGTTACAGATAGTCTTGCGGTAAAGCTAGGTTTGTTTAAGTCTCCAGATTTGCTACCTGTCGTTGGTATTGGTGGATCAAGGTCATTCTCAAAGGAATTCTCTCAGTTCTGTCTGAAGTCTCTGCACTCAGACAAACATCTTCAGATTAAGGCCTACATTCTTGACCATCTCACATAATCGTTGCCGTCGTTCGCAGTCTCGGATACTCAAGCTTGAGGCCATCCCGAGGGACTGAAGTTAGCTGATCCGGAATACATGGAGCCAAGACCTATTGACCTTCTCATTGGCGTGGATTTCTTCGGATCAATTGTGGAGCCACAGATCATCAAGGGGCCTTCAGACTCCCCTATAGCAATGCACACTATCTTCGGTTGGGTGGTACTAGGACCTACTTCAGCGGTGATTCCAATGGTGGCCAGCTCTAATCACATTGCAGTCAGCAACGAGGAACTCTACGACCTTCTCACTTCGTTCTGGCTGCAGGAGGAGGTCCCAAAAGCCGAGGATAGTGATATCACGAAAGAAGAGGCACAATGTGAGGAGTTTTTCCAGCGCACCCATTCACGAAACAGCTCAGGGCGCTACGTGGTTCGCCTGCCTCTTGCACGTTCTCCTACAGAGCTTGGCGACTCTTATGGTCGGGCTAAAGCGTGTCTCTCCAGCCTGTTCCGGAGAATGGAGCGGAATCAACGGACCCTTCAGCTATATAGTGTTTTTCTCAAGGAGTACGAAGATCTGGGACACATGGTGCGTGTTCCAGCCTTAACTGGTTCGGGGAATGCCGGGAGCGTGAAGTTCGGCTGTCGATCTGAGGGGATGACCTTGGCATATGGGGCTTCGGCTTCAGGAGGGTTGAGGGTCCCTGAGGAGAAGCAGTCGGCTCGTGTCTCCACTCGGTGTTCTGTTCAGAGGCAAGCTTATTCGTCAACTCCTATGTACTACTTTCCTGATCATGGTGTTCTCAGGGAAAGTAGTGAAACAACGAAGCTGAGGGTACTCTTCAATGGCTCTAGTAAGACCAGCTCAGGGGTGTCTCTCAATGACATCCAACACACTGGAGCCAAACCGCAGAAGAATATCTCTGACATGCTGCTCTCATCCAGGCGGAGCAGGTACATTTTCATGGCGGACATCACGAAGATGTTCCGTCCAATCAAGGTGCATCGTGAGGACTGGCCTCTTCAACAGATTCTGTGGCGGGATTCTCAAGGTCAGATCAACACCTACCAGCTCACCACCGTGACCTACGGGACTAAATCGGCCCCATTCTCAGCCTGTAGAGTTCTCAACCAACTGGTCGCGGATGAAGGACATCGTTTTCCTCTAGCAATCTCTCCGTTGACCAGTGGAAGATACATGGATGACATCTGTGGTGGTGCTGAAGAGGAGAGTGATCTTCTAGAAGTCTCCAAGCAAGTGAGGAATCTTTGCTGAGCTGGTGGTTTCCCTCTAGCAAAGTGGCATAGCAACAGTCCGTCTCTACTCAGATCTCGGAATCCAGAAGGTGTCTCTCAGGATCACAAGCCGCTAGAGGATTCCACCACAAAGATTCTTGGTCTGAAGTGGGATCCAAACACAGACCAATTCAAGTTCTCAATCCACCTTCCGGCCAACTCAAAGGTGACGAAGAGAAATATGTTGTCTGAGATAGCTCAGTTATTCGACCCTCTAGGTCTACTTTCTCCTGTGGTGATTAGGGCAAAAGCACTCCTACAGCGTCTCTGGGTTGAGAACCTGGACTGGGATGATGCGCTTCCACCACAAATCTCGGATAAGTAGACCCAATTCCGTAAGGAGCTGTCTCAGGTCGAAAATATCTCCATTTCTCGTTGGCTCGGAGTGAAGAAGGATGCTCTGGTGTAAATACACGGGTTCTCAGATGCCTCGCAAACATCGATGGCTGCGGTGGTATATGTGAAGGTGACAAGCTCGAATGGCGTGAGTATCTCGTTAGCTACTGCTAAAACCAAGGTGGCTCCTCTCAAGCAGCTCACCATCCCGAGACTTGAACTCAACGCCGCAGTCATGCTGGCGAAACTCACAAGGTATGTGCGTGTTCAACTCAACCTTGATAACGCTCCTGTGTTCCTGTGGACAGACTCAGCTGTTACCCTGGCGTGGATCAGCTCTCATCCCTCCCGGTGGAAGGAATATGTGCATAACAGGGTAGCCAGCATACAGGAACTGATTCCAGGAGCGAAGTGGCGATACATCAGCGGTAAGGAGAATCCTGCTGATTGTGCTTCTCGGGGCACCACTGTGGCTCAACTCAGTGCTCATAAACTGTGGTGGACGGGTCCAAAGTGGCTGCAGTTAGACTCCCCTCAGTGGCCAAAAGAGAATGCCAAACTGGATCCGTCAGCAAATCTGGAAGAGAAACCCGGATCCATATTTACCGTTTCGATAGACTTTACTCTCCGGGATCTCATCACCAAGTACTCCTCTATCTACAAATTGCTGCGCATAACAGCAATTTGTCAACGTGTTGTTGCTCGGATAAGGAGGAAACCAGGTGAAACTCTCGTGGATCCACTCAGTCCTGATGGCATCGAGGCAGCTAAGGTGTATTGAGTCAGAGCCACTCAGGCTCATTATCTGCAGTCGGAGTGCAGCATGATCTATCGTGGTCAACAACTTGAGAGGTCTCATCCGTTGACCAAACTGACTGCCTTCATAGACCATCAAGGTGTTCTCCGAGTGGGCGGGAGATTGAAGTTCTCTAACCTGCACCCAGAGAGTAAACAAAAAGCGATCGTCCCTACAGATTCCGAGCTGGTTGAACTTCTCATTAGGGACTCTCATCAGCGAACGTTGCATGGTGGAACTCAACTCACGTTGACGCATCTCAGGAGGTTTTACTGGATTATTGACGGAAGAGCGCCAGTAAGATCCTTCATTCTCAAGTGCGTGGAATGTGTCTGCCAACGTAGAGTACGTGCTCAGCAACTGATGGGGCAGTTTCCACCGGCACGTCTGTCTCCAGGACGTGCCTTCTCTAACACTGGTGTAGATTACGATGGACCAGTGTCCATCAAGACGTGGAAGGGGCGTGGTCATAAAACCCAAAAGGGTTGGTTAGTGATCTTCGTTTGCATGGCCACGTCAGCACTTCATCTGGAAGCTGCCACCGATTACTCTGCTGATGGGTTCATCGCTGCCTATCGGAGATTCGTGAGTCGTCGAGGTCGTTGCAGGAACCTCTTCAGTGATTGTGGAATGAATTTCGTTGGTGCAGACAAGGAGCTGAAGAGGTTGTTCTCCATTGGATCAAAGGAGTTCCAGCATCTCACAGCAGTTTGCCTGGAAGAGGGCACTTGGTGGTCTTTCAATCCACCTGGGGCCCCTCATTTTGGAGGAAAATGGGAAGCAGCAGTAAAATCAGTGAAGTATCATCTCTCTCGAACGATTCGGGATACTACACTGACGTTCGAGGAACTCTCTACGCTGCCTACACAGATTGAAGCTATGCTCAACTCCAGACCTCTACAGGCTCTCTCTGAAGACCCCGACGACGTGTTGTGTCTCACTCCTAGGCATTTTTTGATTGGAGAAGCTCCAATAGCGCTACCGGAACCTTCACTGGATCATCTCAACATTGGACGGCTCTCTAGATGGCAACTTATACAGCAGAGGCTGCAGTACTTCTGGAACCAGTGGTGTACAGGATATCTGCAGCAGCTGCAGTCCATCTCCAAGTGGCATCGTCCGTCCAACGGTATTCGCATCGGATCTCTGGTTCTTCTCTCCGATGAAAGGTTTCCGCCGTCGAAGTGGCCCCTCGCACGTGTCACAGCTCTACACCCTGGGAAGGATTGCCTCTCCAGAGTTGTGACCATCAAGACGGTAGTGACGTCGCTGACTAGGCCAATCTCTAAGCTGGTTCCGTTGCCCATCTCTACCAGCTGAATAGATGCTGGTTTTAGTCGGCCTTGTTGATCTTCTCTGTTTAGTGTTTCAGGCTCTATCATGGCTTTCTCGAGAACCTGGTCACCAACAAGTTGCTGACGGGGGGAGAATGTTGAGGCTTCAGCCTCACGTCACGGTAGGTTGGTCCGCTGACCACGAGCGGCAGCACCTTCTGGACACGGACCTGGGTTACCGACCGTGTCCAATGAATTCGGACCGACCGCACCTGCCGCGACACTTGTCCCATCTCGTCACTTCCGCCTTCTTCTCTAATCGCCTCGCGACAAGTGTGCATCGTGCCATTCTCTCCGCGATTACATCGTGAATTATTGTGAACATCTCCACCGTGTAAGCTCTCTAATTCATTCTAAATTAACTGTCAGCGGTTAATTATCTTTGTGACGCGGACATTTTTTTGACTTTGTGTATATGTTATGATAAATATAGACTTTTATTGTGACTCTACCCACGCGCACAGTGACATTTATTTTTTTGGTGAACTTCTCAACCCTTTTCGAAATCCCGGCTCTCCATCGGTTTTTTTTTGGTTAACTCTCGCCGAAACACATTGAAAAGTTCCAGTCAAATCTCCGGAATTTCACGAATGGCGAACGGCATAGAATCAGAGTTCTCACACTATCTGATATCTCTCTACATATTATATTATAAAAATCCAAATCGACTTCTGGCGAAAGAAAATGAAGATAAAAAAACAAGACTCGAGACCAAGGGTCATAAGAATCTGGATTGTGGTCATGAGGGTCATAAGGTTCAGTATGAGGGTCACAAGCATCGAAGTAAGGGTTGGAATGGCGGTCATAGCGGTCATAAGAGTTATAAGGGTCAAATTTAAAGTTATACAAGGGTCATGTGGAGAACATATGGGGGTCATATAGGGGTCATATTGGAGTCACATGGGGCTCATCTAGGGGTCATGTAGCGGTCATATGGGTTTCATATGAGGAATGTAGAGGGGTCGTATGAGGGTCATGTGAGGGTCATGTGGAGGTCATATGAGGGTCATATGCGGGATTCATGTGCGGATCATATGGAAATTATATAGGAGTCATATGGAGGTCATGAGTAATTCACGTGGGATCAGAATAAGGCTGAGAAAAATAAGAGTCAGAAATGAGAATCAGAAATAGCCTAGAAATAAAGGCCCAGAATAAAGATCAGAAACAGGGCTCAGAATGAATGTAAAAGTATGAAGGTGTGGCTCCTTCTTTTTCCTGTATAAAATTGTTATGAATTTCAAACGATTCAATAAAGTGGAAAATCACTCATCTAAAGTTTTACATTTTTTGTTTGAACTAATTGAATTGAAGCGTTAACTGGAGGTTTTTTCTGAAAATAAACCAAACGCTCCCAATTCATCGCATTTTACCAACCGTGGGGGGTTGGTCAGAGGTGAGTGGTAATGGTATGGTCATTACTTACCAATCGTAATAAAAAAAAAATCAGGAAAATAAGTGCAGATAGAGAATGGTCCCCTAAGAGAATTATGAAAGACGAGGGAGTAATGAATTTCACAGTTTCACTTTTTATTCATTATTCATTACAAAGATATAAATACTGAGTTACAGAGCGTTGGATGAAATCATTCCAAGTTTTCTTTTCTTTCATTCAATAAAGCTGACGAAAGTAATCTTCTCGATGATTGAAATCGATTGAGGATGAGTAATAATTAATCCATTGATAACAGTGTCTGGTTATAAATACCTGTTGCTCGACAAATATCCAATGGAAAATATCCTTTTAGGATGTCATGGGGATCTTACTGAGTGAATTATCGAAATATTCACGGCAGTTCTACCTCCTGTTCTCGAGAGCACGGAACCTTTCTACGAATTCATGAGGTTTTCAATATTTTAGACCTGATTACTACTAAAAAAGTCAGACTTCAGCTAGACCCTCTGTTGCATAATTATTTTAGCTCATTCATATGTAAGTTTTCATTGTGTGCCCCAGTGTCATTATGCCAATGGAATAAGTCTCTAGTTTCCATAACCAAGTTATTGGTTTCAACTCATAGATTGCAAACTCATAGTTCTAGAAAACATTCTACTGAATGTAAAAAAGTAGTAGCTCAACTTCTGAAGATAAATTACTGACATTCACAATTGAAAAGATATTAATTTCAAGTGAGGACAGTTATTGAATCAAGAACCAAGAGAATTTGGAAAGCAATAAAATTGTGGAATAATTCAACACTAATTGAACATTAGAAATTGCGTCCATACGTTAGCTGACATACGAACAGGACTAGATTGAGTTCATAACGAGAAAAATTGTCAATTCTGGGACAAGAATGTTCCAACATTTTCATTTCCAGAGCCGAGATTTCTTTCGAGCAAGAGAAGATGTGCCTGAATTCATATACAGCTGTACTAAATGTAACTAAAAACTACTGAGAATTGAAACTGTTGAACTGCGGGTGTGGACACAATAAATAGTACACGGGTTTTCTTACTAGATAACTAGTTTATTGGCTACAACACGTCTCTCATCTCGCGTCTCGCAGTAGAGTGAACTCTCACAAGTTACAACCTAATGGAGAGGAGATCTGCGCATGCGCAAGATCTAGTCTCCCCATAATGAATATATATATACGATTCAGAAAGATCGTTAAGTTATCAGACTATCCATCTCACATACATATATATATATATATATATATATATTTATCCGCTAGGGCCTAAGCCCAGTGGGACCGGGGCCTGGCGCCACCTTTTCAACAGAAACGTTTCCATCTGATTTTTACGTTTAATTTTATGAGAATAAGAATTAAGTCAATTTATCATCGGAATTTTTTGCTTTTTAAATTTTAGAATGCCAGGGTTTTGTAATTCAACTATTGTTACTGGAATTCTCACCAGCACTTTGATTTTGCATGTGGACTGACTGTGACTTATGGTTTCCTCGGCTCATTTTTTGATGTTTAATTTAGCCTGCTATATTGAAATCGTTCTATGGAAATTCGTCTAGAAAAACCATCGTTTTTTCCAAAAATCCATGGAGTATTTATGACATCCTCCACATGTTATTCTCCAATGGTACTTGCTCTTCACTAAACAAGGGGATATAGCCAACTAAGGAATTGAATTGAAATATTATCCTCCACTCCAGTCAGTGTTCAATAAATTGATTCAGCCATGTGGCGAATGTTGTACAAGGTAAAGGGCACCAAAACTAAAAGAAAAAATCAGGCCCGCTCGCACGCTCACTCTTTGAGGTATGACCGGTAGGAGTTGGTGGAATTAGCTGTGACCTATTGCGGGTCGAACCAATAACTTCCCGACCAATGGCGAGGATGAGGGAGAGTGAATTAGTGCAGTTTTCCGGAAAAGCGATTGGACCACGCGGGATGGCGTCGCTACCTCTCGGAATGACGCCAACACAGATACTCATGGTTTGAAGGATAGAAAACCCTTCAAACGAACCAAAATGCTCCCTTGAAGCTACCTGAAATTATCTAAATGATAATTACGCTACCTGAATAAATCCAAATAGTAATAATGCTACCTACCGTAACTTTTGGGCTAAATTTCATGCTTTATGTGTCTCGCTACGGTGATTGATGCAACTCGCTACCTGCTTCATTGCTACCTTTTTCCTGCTACCTTTTCTCGCTCTCTTTACTTAGTTATTCTACGCTACCTATTTCTTTATATTTCTCAAACTCACACGAGTTTTGGGAGAGAAATTAGGCTACCTGAATTGCTCTTAAGCTACCTTTTACGCGTTTTAATGCTCTTTAGCGTTCGTTGAGTCCGGTTGGGCGTGGGGACGCTATCTTTTTAGTTATTTTTACTTTTATGATTGGAATCCAGAACAATAAAATTATCTAAGCTCTCTTGCGGTAATGAATAAGCTACCTATTATTTAAGAAATCATTGGAGACCGTAAGCTACCTATCTTCATGGAGAAAACCTCCATTTTCGAGTTAGAAATGCTCCCTTCCGGTAAATCAGCCACGTGGATGATTTAAGCTGCCTAGCTCATTTTGCTACCTTTTCGGTGGATGAGATCCCCGATTTCAATACGTTACAAATGGCGTAAGAATGAAGTAAACTATTACAAAGGCGCTCCAGAATTCGAAATTCGATTAATTACAGTCGAAAATAAGAAAAATTAGTACCTTTTCGTAAGCTCTCTCTTTATTCCGCGTAGCTACCTCATCCGTTCTCTGTCGCACGTACGCTACCTTCCTATAGTCTCTCTCTCTCTCGGATTCGTGTTCCCCTCGTGGACAATACTTTTGCTTCTTTCTATCAACTTTGGATTGGGATCGCTTTCTTTTTCATACTTAAAATTATTATTCGTATCTTTCGAGTCTTTTGGAGTTTAATGGATCATTTCAGAGTATTTAAAATTATTTTGAGTCATATTGATGTAATTTTGTATTTATACGAATTAACGATTTTGTATTAATATCGGCAATAGAGACACACGTCAGTACAATTATGTTTATTATTCAATATCGACCTTACCTATCCCGTTTAGAATTTAAGACATTGGTTTATTGGTTTCTCGATCGATGATTGGCTTTGCTAATTGATGTTCTCGTCCGCGAATCCACCCCTCTCTCCACGACTCGCACACTGAGCAGCCGAGTAAATCCCGTACCCTCGTAATCCACATTTCTGCGTATGGTTTGTGATCTGTTTCTTGTCGTTATTGGATTTTTGCGGACAATCAGTACTTAGTTTTATGAAAATACGGTTCCGTTTGTGGTTTGTCGATTCCGCGTTGCTAAAAATCGGCTGGCGCCCTAAATACACGAAGTAAGGATTGGATGAGCTGCTGATTAGTCCCGGAGTCCAGTTTTAGCGTTATGGTTTTTGGCGTTTCAGACTTGTCGGATTACGAGAACGAAGGTAATGAGTTGGCCGTGTTTGGATAATCGAGAATTTTGGGTTGGGGTTTATTGAGTA